CGCGTGAACGCCTCGGGGACGCCCGCGAGGAGCATCACGGCCGCGACGGACGCGGCGAGGAGGTGCGACGGGGTGTGTGCGGGCGAGAGCGTGGGCGTGCCGTACGAATAGGGCAGAGCGCTGCACGAGGAGGAGAGCTCTTGGAGGTGCTGCGTCGTGAGGACGTGCCACGGGTGGGAGACCGAGGGTGGTTCTACGAGACGCAATCAGCACGTTATCGCGCGATACCGCTCGACCGAAGACACTCGCCTGTTTCCCGGAAGCGGTCCCAGAGCCTGTCGAGCATGTCCTCCCGATCCTCCCACACGTCCGCGCCGCTCATCCAGCGCCGAATCGCCCGCGCACAGTGTACGACCATGCACGTCTGCAGCGCGAGCTGCAGTAGCGTCGGGTCAAGCGGGTGCACCCGGCGCACGTCCTCGCTCTCCCTCTTATACGCGCCCGCACCCGCACCAGCCAGGTCCTCCACCTTGAGCGTCAGCTGTCCCTTCCGCCGGACCTCGACGAGGCGGAGGCCCGTGACGCGCTCGCGCATCTGGTCGAGCACGAGCGCCATGCGCTCCCCGGCGATATCGTGCACGCGCTCCGCCGCGTCCTGGAGGAGGATGGCGTAGGTGGCCATGTCGAGCGGGCACGGGTAGTCGTCGGGCTTGTATGCGCATGAGGGCGAGGCGAGCGCGAGCGTGCCCGTGCGTGCGATGGGTGGTAGGAAGCCTGGGACGGTGCGGCAGGCCTCGGCGAGCTGCGAGGCTGTCTGGAGGATCTGCGCGTTGAGCGCGGTGAGCATGTGTATTGCGTCTGTGGGCGTCAGGGATGGGGGCGCTGCGGGTGCGGTCACGGAGGCGGGGAAGGAGACTGGTGGTCGGGATGTGGAGGAAGGCTCCGGCGGTGGTGCAGAGGGCACTGCAGGTGGGGATGGGGCAGGCGGTGGGTCGGATTGCGGCTGAGAGGCCATATCAGTATCAGTTTCGGTAGACACGTACCGTGCTTTCTCCTCCGGCCTGCTCATGCCCAACCGATTCATGTTAATCTCCACCCGCATCTTCTTCAGCCTCCCCCTCAGATCCCTTGTCCTTTCGCGTTCCTTTGCGCGGCCAAGCTGTACCTTTCTGAGCATGCGGCGCGTCTCGGCGAGCTCGTCGTTCAGGTCGCCCGCCTCGACGGTCATCTCGTGCAGCCGGCGCATGCACGCGTGGAGCGCCTCGGTGAGCGCGTCGATGTCTGCGCGGGAGAGGGCGAGGGCGTGCTTGGCCGAGTCGGACCATTTGGTGAGGATGGCGACGGAGGAGTCTTTGCGCGCGAGGTCGCGGTGGACGACGGCGAGCGCTTTCTTGGC